CTTATTAGGCAGATAATTGTAATTCATTACACGTATTGAAATCTGAACAGTATACCGTTGCCTTTAGTAAGACGACTGGTTCCTCAGATGGAGCTACTATAAATACACGTTTCATTTGTTAAAATTATACTTTTCTACATTTAAATCAACTATTTATTTCATTCATTGACAAATATCGAATGAAATTTCTTATTGTAAACCTACAAAAGTCTTCATACAACTTTACTTCCAATATAAGTATACCCACGCTTAACCTTTCATGATGCATATTTAAAATAAAACAGATTTTGATTATTTTATCGAATATTCAAATACTTTCATTGAATATTCGAATATGAATTATTGACTAAATTGACATCCCTAATATATATATATATATATATATATATATATATATATATATATATATATATATATATATATTTATCACATATTTACCCCTTTATACAGTGGATATAGCTCATTGCATATCGTTTTCATATCCATACTATGTATTCCTACGCCGCGTGAGGTAATGTAAATAAACAAATCCATGTGCATGATGGAAAGAAGAATTCCAAATAATTCAATTGTAAATATTGATGGAGGTGGTTCAGGTTTGGTGAAATCTTCTTAATTTGAAAATGATGAAATTATTTATGAAGTCGAAATTGAGGGTACAGGTCTGACATTGCCATTTCCAAGTTATCGTCTCAAAATAGTGAATCCTGTCTCGCAGCAGACGACGTCTGGATCGCGATTTGAATTAATAGACGAAAATGATATTGATAAATATATCAATGATCAAGAAAACAAAAACACATGGAAAAAAACTTCTGCTGACATGAATTTGCTAAAATCGTTTCTTGAAACTCAAAATGAAAACAGACCCATAGAAACAATCCCTCCCTCTGAATTGAATAACATTTTGTGTAAATTTATTTTGAGTGTCCGGAAGCCTGATGGCTCAAATTATGAACCAAACACATTGCGATCTTTTATGAGCAGCTTTGATAGATATTTACGTAAAATGAAGTATGGATGTCAGATTGTTTCAAGCATAGAATTTGTTAAAGCGCGCGAAGTTCTCAAGGCAAAACAGCGAAGTCTTAAAGGCGAGGGTAAAGGAAATCTATCTAAAAAAGCAGACCCATTAACTGACATCGAAATAAATAAACTGTGGGAATGTGGTCTGTTAGGGGCACAAACTCCTGAGAGTATATTAAACTCACTTTGGCTATTCAGCACGATTTATTTTGGACTGAGGGGTTCAGATGAACACAGATCCATGTCGTGGGGTGACATTTGTTTGCAAACTGATATTACTGACGTAGAATACTTAACATTTGATGAACGCCAATCAAAAACCAGACAAGTAGTAAACCCAAGGGATGTTCGAGTAGTCAAACCCAAAATGTGGGCAAATACTGACGCGCCGGATCGATGTCCTGTTGCTATATACAAAAAATATTCAGAAAAAAGACCCGATGAGTTTTCAAAACCCGATAATCCATTTTATTTAGGTACACATACCCAGCAACACGCAATGTCCATAAAAGAACAATGGTTTAAAAGACAGCCAGTCGGCGTCAATAAATTGTCATCTTTAATGAAAAGAATGGCCAATGCAGCAGGTATTGGTGGAGACAAAAAACTCACCAACCACAGCGCTAGAAAACATTTAGTGCAAAAATTAAGCGAAAACAACATACCTCCAAATCAAATCATGCAGATAACTGGCCATAAAAACATCCAATCCATAAACAATTACAGCAGCATCAATGAAAATCAACACAAAAGTATTTCTGGCATCCTTTCGAACTCAGCACCTCCTGTAAACAACCCTGGATCCGCCACATTCAATTGGACACAAAACAATTCTATCACAAATACAGCTGTACGGAATACAACTACATCAAACACTGGCACTTCCATGATTGTTAATGTCTCAGGGGGCATTCAAAACTTCTTGAATGGAGATGTTCATGGCGGAAAAATTATTGTAAACATCCATGAATGTTCAAACAAAACACCACGGAAAAGGCCGCGTGTCATCTATGACACAGACTCGGATGACTAAAGTCAATAATAATTGTAAATGACTTGATTTGTCAAATCTAACATTATTTCATATTTTTGAACGAATTTTCATTCATGAATAAAAAAATATAACAGCTAAAATACATTCTTTCTTTTATTTTTTTACGAACTATTTCTAACAGCGTAATATTATTTACGTATGTTATTTGGTCCGAGGTAACCGAGAGGGAACTTTGAATTAGAAAATAAAGACAAGAAACGCTTTGATCATGTTGATAGTTGAACAAAAATATGTGATAAAAAGAATCTCCCATGGTTTGTGGTTGGATATGATTTTTATCCAACTCGTTGTGTGTTTTCTATCCCCTCGCCAAGGCTCGGGGATAGAAAACACACAACTCGTTGGATAAAAATCATATCCAACAACAAACCATGGGAGATCCTATATATATATATATATATATATATATATATATATATATATATAAGAAATAAGGTATCATTTTTATACATCTATCGGGATATAAATACGGGCTGGTCACGAGATCAAATTCCATAAAGCCCGAAGGGCTTTATGGTAAATTTGATCTCGTACCAACCCGTATTTATATCCGATAGATGTTTTAAAATGATACCTTATTACCTATATTTACATTTGTGACATTCATATTATCTATTAGCCTGATTATAACCTTTAACGCGTGAAATGTGTTATTTTTTCAAACTCAATGGCACAAGTTTGATCTATTGATTGCGCGTCGACCCTTTATGACGTCACTGAGAAATTACGTCGAACGTTTATGACGCGAGGAACCCGTGTTTATACGGATATAGATACACATTGCTTTTAATAGTGTTATATAAAGGAAAACATTTGCAAATGTAAATATATATATATATATATATATATATATATATATATATATATATATATATATATATATATATGACATATGGCTTTAGGAGACCAAGGAGGATATATTTTCTGGCTTAGGGAGACCACTGGATTAAGGCGACCTTTTTCGGTCTCCCTATTATTTTGACCTCATCAGTATTGCAAATGTCTTTTTATAGATAAATAAACAGTCTGCCATTAAATATTATTAATCTTTAACTCTGTTATTTAACATTCAAAAGTTGTCTAATTCCTATCATCTTCCCTAAAAAAGAAAAGAATGTATAACCTACGTATAATTTCAAAGGATAATTTTTCTGCATTTTGGAGACCATGAAAAACATGCAATTAAACAAAAAATCTAGCATATATATTTTTTCCGCTTTTGATATGTTCAAATGAGTGTTTCTTTAACTTAGTTTTCCACTTTTTATGTTAAAAACCTAAAAAGGAAAAATATTGTAAATTTATGGACCATGTTTTGAATTCTTAGCAAGTGCTTTCCGTCATTTGTTCCGAATGCCATCGGAATGCCTCTTCAGTTTTCAGAAAATGACCTCTGAACACCATGAATGTTGAGAAATTTGGGTAAGTAACTAAAATGATACAGTAATAAGTTGTAATTAAGAATACGCAAGACAAACATTCGTGTTTTTGTTTTTGTTTTTGTTTTTGTTTTTTTTGTTTTTTTTGCCTAGTAATTTAGCTTTTAAGAGAAAAAGTATGATTTTAAATAATCATTAGACTATAGTTCGGTATATAAAATCCTGAAGGAAATTCGAAATAAAGTTAAATGATAGGCCCCTATATTTTTAATTCTTTTATGCAAGTCCACAAACAAATTGCAGAAAATATTTAAAGATTAGGCCGAACGTAGAAAAAAATAGTCTCGCAAGTTGACGCAGCTATGTCGAGCTTAAAAATTTAAATTAAACTTTCTGTAAACATCATGCAGGACATGATCATCATGATATAGTATAAATGAAACAGACCCTGTAAGAAAAAAATAGCTGTAATTTAATAATTATTTATTAATATAATGTGGTCCTCTGCTGTTAAAATACATATGCAGTAAAAAAAGGGTGAAGCAGATTTGATACAATACATGGCTGAAGGAACGTACGAAATGAAATTTAGGTATACTATAGAAAACATTGCTCCTTTATGTTTGGACCCCCTCAATAATAACCTCTGATGATCTATTTTTTACTTTTGCTTTTGGCCCCCCTAAATAATAACCTCTGGTAATGTATTTTTCTTTTGCTTATTAAGAAATTTTTAGTTTGTAGCCTCCCCCAACCTGAAACTGAAAAATGTTGTTTGGTTGTGCTCACCCCCCCCCCCCCTCTCCAACTAAATTACGTACGGGCCTATTCTCCATCTCTGAGGTTTTCTTTCACCAAAGAAAGATTAATTGGTAACAGTTCAGATATATAGCAATATTTACGGAAGGGAATATTCTCGTTTAATTATGAAGATGTGACAGTAACTAAATGTTACACAGTGAGTGTAACATTTATTTAATATTATTGTAACAGTTAATGTTTACAAATAGTGAAATACTGATACTATGAAATTTTAATGGATATATAGAAAATATATAAGTACAACCATTATTGTAAACCACATACACGAAAAGCTTTTTTTTTTCCAAGCAATTGGAAATTCTTTACAAATCATTATCGCAGCCTAGGTCCCTTCATTATTTTCAGCAGTTCAGTGACGGATTTGGGGTTTATACCCCCCCCCCCCCCCACCACCACCACCACCAAATGAAACTAAAAAATGTTTGGTTTTGGTCCCCTTCAACTGAAATTGATTCCTACTTACCATGCTTACAGGCTTAACTATGAAGATGTGACAGGGAGTGTAAAAACAATAATTGTTCAGACGGATACATAAGCTGATATAAATATCAAATTTTAATGGATAGATAGAAATTAATATACAATTACAACCATTTATTATAAACTACATAAAGATAATTTTTCAAGCAATTTGAAATTCTTCATTTTTTAAGATAATATTGTATTTCGTATATATATGTTTATAGGTTTATTCTTATCAACAAATCTGTGTACGAGTTAATAACGCACCCTGGGTTCCCTGCATTTTCAGTGACAGAGAACCAGATATAAGAATGCAGGGAAACAAGCCTTGTTACAAGGTTTGAGGTTTGTTTATTTTATATTTTAATTTACACTTTTTTAAAATTATTATGCAAAGCTCTGTGTGCAGATGAATATTTACATTTTAATGTTATAAGTCGTTTTGTGGTTCATTTATTTGCGGTGACTGTCCCACGTGTGTTTACCTGTTTACATTCACCTACTGACCTAGAGTCTTCAAAATATACCTTCTGTAATCATGACTGTTGTAATCTTGTTTTTATGTTAGTTTACCATATGTAACTTGACTGTTGTATAGATTTATAGCGATCACTGCAAGCTTTTAATATTTATGTGAAGAGAAATTTCAGACTATCAATCACAGGCACTTGTTTCATATACGGTGCACCCCTACTTATTTTTACCACAAGGTATCTAACTCAATTTTAGGCACCCTGCTTCAAGCTCGTATTTTGTTCATATATCAATCATTAACCTACTTTAAAATGACATTGTTCGCTTCATGAGACTTTTTTCTTGTCAAATAAATCGTTTCAGACGTCTCTGGTCGAGACTCTTTATTGTAGAGCACTCATTTATTCCTCGAAAATTACCTCGATACATTGTTAAATTTAAGACTTTAGATGGGATACAACTTCCAGTTGGGGTAGAATAAAACCAGAGACTTCCAAGTATTCCATTCCGAGGTCTCTGGTTTTATCCTTCATTTATAACCCCAACCGCAAATTTGTTTTGAAAATTACCTTGATACATCTTAAGACTTTAGATGATACAAATTTCATTTTTTTCACAGGTCACAGGGTTTCAACTTGAAAAATAAAAATTCTCACCGTTAAGATATGTTGGAAATTTTAGCGTGATATGTTGATAATTTGCCAAATTATTATGTAATAAAAGGGACTTTATATGATCACCCGGCGCTGTCACTTTAGTTCAGTCTTCACAACAATTCTTTTTCAGCACATGCCCTTCGGGCATGTAGACCTATCATTTTTACCCAGCGCATTCAAATTTGTACATGCCCTACTCAAAATTCTTACATTTACCAGTATTGTGCTACAAAAAAAAAAATTAGGTATAAAGGTTTTATATTAATTTTTTCAGCATTGTATTTCTCCGTGACTGTACCACGTGTGTTTATTCACCGTGATTGCCATTTTCTAAAGTGTTTTTGTTCATTAATAACTTTTGAGTTGCATGCTGGTCATTTGTTGGCAGGTTTAGCTGAACTGAATTTCAGAAATGGGATCATGACTGTAGTGCCACAGTATGTGGCATCGATGAACGTCTCGTAATTTAGCAAGAAACTTTGAGAAAACAAATAGGTTAAACTAAACACTTCAATGATTAGATTGACAATCATTTGACAGGTCGTATCGAGAATGTAGACAGGCAATCCATCTAAGACATTACATATAGCAACGTTTACGGGAATAATGGGGGTAGGACAGATTAAATGGCAAGTAAAGATTGTACAATGAAAGAAGATTCACATATGCCCTCTTCGGACATGTAATTTGACAATTTTTACATGCCCAGCTGCAAATTTAACAGGTCCCTGGCATTGGACTCCCGGGTTATTTGGAAGACTGTTAGTTTAGTTTCATGAGGTCCGACAACATTGTTTCTCAATGTCTGCTCCCTCTACCCCATACACTTATCTTGATAAAATTATATAAATTATATTATTAATTACCCTGGTATATAAATTGTATAAACCGGTCTTGTTATAAATTATATAAACTGGTCTTGTTTATATAATTTTACAATGTCATAAACAGCTGCTTAAGTGCATATAATATTGTATTAAATGGATTTATATATAGGATTAGGGAAAGATCCTCACTTGATTATGCCAGCATATTTTGCTCGTAGGAGTTTATTATCTACCACACATGATCAATGTCACTTTTGGACGTGAATGACTTTTGACACCCTAACTTCAGTTCAAATCAACGTTAACTTTATGTGACGTCTTTCTGAATCTTTTTTGGCATGTAACTTGGGTAAAAACAATTAAAGTACTCTCGATGCATTTGATTTCTCTTAGCCCGTTTAAACATTTCCTAGGTCTATACCAGTTTTTGCAGGGGCAAAACTATATAGAAGTTGGAAAAGAAACCTATCCCCTTTTTGACGTATTTGGTTTTCAAGGGGTGAAAATTTTCAATGTTACACTCAACTACATGCAACATTTATTATATTATACTGAATGTTTTATACAAATACAAATAATAGTGAACCTTGAGCGCATAAATCTGCGCAGTCACTATTTTTTGGAATATCACCCGTCGTCAAGCAATGTTGACTGTTGCGACACTGGAGGGCGTGGCTTCATTATTCAGTGGGTAATAGTGCTTTTTAACAAATGTTTCTTGACGAATCAGATTGATTCATTTAATATACCTGAAAGTACAATATTAATTAATTGTCATCATTTTCCTATATTAGCTTTTTACTGGTAATGGTTTTGAAATGATAGGAACATGCACTGTTCAAAAAGTCTTAAAATGTTGTTTTGGCTCAATTTCTTTGTTAGATTACTGTGTTGAACTAAGGCAGGTCAATTAAAGTAACATGATCCAATAGATTCCATGTACATTTAGTACTGTAAAGTAGACAAATTTATTGTTCTCACAAATATTTCTCAAATATTGATTTAAGTTGGTCTCCTGAAGGATGTATTAATGCAATTGGTCTGCTTAAGGTATAATATAGACATGCATATTTTATTTTGAATTTGTATTATGTCAATCATTAGAAATATATGGATCTTAATTAAAAAACATTGTTTTTATTAGAATTTAAGATATGTATAATAGGCATATATTCTTCATGCTTTTCCATAATTAAGTCCTTTTTTACAGGGTCTCTGCTAGAATCATGTGGACCCCAGTGTAACACATCTATGGAAAGAGAGAAAATCTCAGCTCAAGGGTCAACATGTCTTTATTCCAAGAAAGGTAAATCGATAATTTTTTTCTGCTAAAATACTCTTTTATAAATTATAATATCAATGCAAAAGAATGAACAAACAACATACCTAACAACATTTTGAAAATGAAAGTGCAATAACAGTTAATAATTATGATCAATTGAATGAATGTTAATAATCAAATCAAAGTCCTTGTTGTATATCATTTTTGCTAGGGCTGTGTATTGAGAAAAAAAAAAGAAGAAGACATTTTTTAATGCGATATGCAATATATTGGATTCTTTAACAATTCTGTCAAAAAAGTCTTATAAATCATTATGCATGAATTTTATAAAAATGATAATTGTTTTGCAACTCATTTTTAATTTTTTGTCTCACTGTCTTTAAAAATTACACTTCAAATTCAAACTTTTCTTGACTGTAAAATCAACATGCTAAGTAAAGTTGTCTATGTATTTTTATGATTTTGTAATAATCATCTAAGATGTGCTACCTCCTTAACGATTATATCATTTTTGATCAGTTTTAATTCAAAACAGTTAAATATAATCTTTGGTGATTGAAATTCCCAACTTTTTCACAGAATTACATAAAAAAACTGCCTGCCCAAAATGTATTGGAATTAAGTTATTTTTTGGATACGATATATTCATTAATCTAGATATGTATCAATATATTTGGTGCAGCCCTAATTATTGCTGGTTCATAAATAACTAAAAAATAAACAAATGCCAAATGTTGGCATGGTTGGCATTGCAACTGTATCTTACACATTCAAATCAGGCCATTCTTACAAGTTTTGAAACATGTTGGATTCTTCACTAGTGCCGCTACTACAGAGAAGACAGCTTGTTTATAAACTGTGTCATTCAAAGTTTCAGTATATATATGAGAAACACAACAAATCTGAATGCTTAGCCATTACACTAAATGATGAATCTACTTTATTGTGTTATTTATTGACATTTGACAATCATGATTTATAAATCATTTTGAAATTTTTAAAAACAAATTAAAGCAATTCCCATCAATTCCTCCCTAGACAAATATATTAATGATAATTTTTACAGCAATACCTTGCTGTAAATTTCAATTCAAGTGATTTGATTTTTGATTTTTGTTTGTTTGTTTGTTTGTACATTTATGGTTAATTTATCCTTAGAAAAAAATTAATAAGAAAGTAATTTTATTAAAATTTTATAACTTAAATAATGTCTAGATTCATGTATTGAATCATAAAATTGTTTTGAGAGATGTATCGTATCATAATGTCTGTGTATTATCCAAACCCAATATACCTACATATCACGATGTATCATTTCAGCATTTATTTGTTAGTGTTGTTTGATTTGTTTTGTATATGCCCTTTCCTGCTCAGAAAGCAGAAAGCAGAAGTTCTTGCTTCATAATTGTCACTCAAGACCTGAAACTGTATTAGAAATCTGTATGACGTGTGAAATTTCATATCTGTTTTGACATAGTTGTTAATTTGTATAACAAAATGCAATAATACAACACAATTGATTTAATAGCATTGATTTTTGTATCAGCAAAAAAAAAAAAAAAATATTTTCCCTACCTACTGACCCAAGTGTTTAAAGACTCAATCGGCAATGCCAAACCAACAATTTTTTAATTGTGGCCTTATCCACTGATATTTCTTTTGTTCTGATTCTTAGTTTCTTTTGTTCTGATTTTTTGTTCATTGAAAAAAATTGACGCCTTTTCTTTAATTCCTTAATTTTCAAGTTGAAGAGTGCATCCCGACAATCAGTTATGATGTTACAGTGTCCACTGTCCAATCCGACAACTGTGCAATCCAGCACACTGGACTTTCCGACCATTAAAACTTAAATATTTTATTCCCAAAAATTTCTTTATAATATATATAGAATAAAACACTGTATATTCCGACCACTGTACATTCCGAATTCTGGTGCTTTTTGTCGACAAGACTAGATAATTACCTTATGATTTTACCTGGGTAATTCGACATAATTATACATTTGTACCATAATTAGTCGCTAGTTCCATTTGGGCACAAGCTTGGTCTACTTAGTAGTTAATTACATGTATTAGTTTGATGGTGTTTATATAAACAATAAATGAACTGTGTTTGAATTTAAAAATTAGGCAATCAGTACTCTTCGTTGTTATCAATTTTATTCTCGCATTGACAAAATAGCATCCACGCGATAGAAAATAAAAAGGAGTACCTGATATTTAGATTGCCTTTACCTAACAGAATAAATAAGATTTTTTGCTTGAAATTGAAATCAAACATGCAGTCAGAGTCCTTTAAAGTCATGTCTCCCTAAAAAATGAGTACAGCAAACTACTGTATAACATTTAGACAACACACAATTTGAAGACAGCATCTCGTCTAATAGAAAATGTTTCATTTCCGGGTTAATATACACTGAATTAAGTGAGACTGTGCACATAAAAGATTTGCAGGAAGCAAAAAACTTCCACTTTAAGTAGACCCATTAAATTTTAAAATGTTAATGTTGTTTGATAAAAATTAAATCGCAATAACAATGTTTTAGAGGTACGTCCCATTTGTTTGAAAAGTCACGAGAGGGTATTAATAGCACAGTCTATCTTGAGAAGTTAACAATGCAGAAAAAATCGGAGAGAAATGTAGTGTAGAAAAAAAAATAAAACCACTGTTTACAGAAGGTAGACAAAATATTTAATATCTACTGTTAGTAAGTAAAATGCTAAAAATTAAATTGCAACAACTCGAAGTGATTGGCAGTTCCATCTGTTTTGCACGTTTAAAAGAAATTATCGTATATTACTACAGAGTTTACTAGTGCTGTAACAAATGATGTGTCTCAAAGAAATGTTAATCAGCCGAAGGTATATTTTATACAACAAAGAAACACACACACACACACACTTTGACAATTAAATACACATGTACTCTAAACCTAACGAAAAATGTTTTTTTTTTCTGTATGAAGTCACCTGACATTTATCATAATGCTCAGAAATATTCAACACTGGGTAATCCGACACACTGTCTAATCTGACATTGATTTTATTCCCCTTCAACATGTTGGATAAGACAGGTTTCACAGTATATCAATGACGTAATGTATGCAATATATAAATAACTGTCCCACCTGCCTGCTAATGTGGAAACAAAACTTCCCTCCATAACAAAAGAGTGCACCAATGGAGATCATTCGGCAAACCTCGGCTGATTCCGTCACCTTCATCAAACGTTTGATGAGGTACGAATCGGCCGAGGTGTGCCGAGTGCAATGGAGATAATCTCGAAACTTGTGTAGTAAGATCAAATCCTAACAATGCACCACTTTTCAGCATTTATATTCATTGCTTAAGGGTTTATTCTTACTAATGAAATAAGTTGTGGTGATGCCTATATTTACTGTAAGACATTTGTAATAATGAAGCATTTGTGAGATGTACCCTTTATCAGTTATTTACAAACAAGGCATTTGAAGAGGATGAGCACAGTGCATTTTTTTTATCTGAAGTTAAGGTGATTTTAAGCAAAAAACATTTCTTGTCCATATTTAGAAAGCAAAATATTTTGACTTAGTTTAAAGTTTTATAAACCCATTAAACTTGTTAAAAAATTAAGTATGTAAACTAAATTTTGAATAAAGAGTTGGTCCTCTGTGTAAAACTTGCTCTGTGAGCAAGTTGGAATTACAATGCCTTTCACGATTCCTTCACAAAAAATGGGGTGACGACCCACAATATTAATAAATGTAGATTAAACATCCTATTTATGTCAGTTATTGTATTAAATGAGCTTTCAACCATTTTATGCTTTATGGTTTTAAATAATATTTTATATTTCATAAATTAGACAGTGAAATTTGCAAAAAAAAAAAAAATTATTGATTTTTAAACTGTTGTTACATTTAGGAATGTGGGTATATGTACATATCCTGTTCAAGTCTTTGTGTATCACATTATATCATGATATACTTCAGACAAATTAGTACACCCGTAGTTTTGAATACAATTCATACATTGATTTCATTTGCCGCAATGGTCTCTTTAATATTGCAATGATGCATTTGGTCTTCCTAATGCATGTATAATGCAGGTACTGTATATACTCTATGTCCAACTTATAGGTGAGTCATAAAAAGATTAGTATTTTGAAACCAGGTTAAAACATCAGAGCATTGATTTGAAATTGTCAATTGATTCTGGCAAAAAGTTGTACCGATTTATAAGCGGGTCAATAGCAAATCCCTCCAAAATAACCTCAAAAAATACAACTGATTTATAGGCAGACCACCTTATAGGCGAGTATATACAGTATAGTTTTTGTTGAATTTTGCTAACAGCAAAACACTATGAATAATGAATTTTGGAAAAAAAGATTATTAAGTTTAATGATGCATGTATGTAGTATAGAAATATTGTTCATATGCCTGTACATGGTACAAATATGCATTTTACAGAGTGTACATATGCCAGAATCATATGGACCGCAGACTGGCCCTGGTGATTCCGTTAAGAAAAAAGAGGAAAAATCAGTGCTTGTGCTCATTGGTCATTGGACAAAGGTAAATAGATTTATTTCATGAAACTAAACATGTAAATTACTAGGATATTAAAATATCACAATTAAAATACATGTACTGATTTATATATATATGGATATCAGTTGGTCTCCTTGATGCAGTTATATGCATTTGTTATCCCTTTTAAGTGGATCTTTTAAATATTATGCAGTTTATTTAGAAGCTCTTTATTATCTGCACTGTTCACTTTTACAGGGTGTATGCCAGAATTTTTTGAAGAACAGTCTGAATCTGACATGGAAAAATGAAGAAAAACAGCCTTCCTGTTTATAAATCTACATTCTGACAAAGGGTAATTTTGTTTAGTTCAATTAGAAGTGCACATTTAATTTCAGTTGCTTTCCTTAATGATATATTATAGCATTTTTATTCCCTTATGAACAATATGTATACTTGTAAAGCATGTATCACAAAATCTTCTGCAAACAAAGTTTTGGGTGTATATTGCTTGTTGCTTAACGTCCCTCTTGAGAATTTTTCACTCATATGGAGACGCCACCACTTGCTGGTGGAGAGCTGCAAATTTTTGTCCTATACTCAGCACTTACGGCCATTGAGCATTGAGGGATCTTTATCGAGCCAGCACCTACTGTGACACGGGACCTCAGTTAATACGTCTGTCTCATCTGAAGAACGGGTCTCCACATTCCACAGTGGGATTCAAACTCGCTATGTAAGGATCAGCTTCTTTCTCCGCGACTCTAGAGTAGACGCTCTAACCACTGCATCTGCTCTACTTTGGCAACTTTGGGTGTATATAAGCATGGTTGTATATAAGCATAGGAATCATCATGTCCATCTGTCTGTTCATGTGTTTGGCCACTTGTGTGACTAGCTTTTTTGTTCCAATTCTGGCTGAGATAAATTGATTTAGGTCATCTAAATACAAACAAATTAAGGGAAATTACTATGGTATTGGGATGAACATTTTGGAATACTGTCTCATTGTTCCATTGTAGTTGGTCTCTTTAATGTTGTAATAATGCATCTGGTCTTCCTAATGTATGGCATACACTGTATGCATGTATAATGTTGTTAAAGTTGGATGAATGTAAAACAGTTCTTGCGTGATGACAAAGGTAAATAGATTTAGTTCATGTAACTAAACATGTAAATTACTAGGGTATTAAAATCTCTCGTTTTGAATACTGATTTACATGTGGAGAGTAGTTGGTCTCCTTAATGCAGTAATAATACATTTGATCTTCCTTATGCATACTGCATATTTATTTTTATATAAATTTAATGGCTGACATGTATGAGGGTTGATCCAAAAGTTTGTTGAATTTCTTCATATTTTATTTATTTATTAGTGAAAGAGGTTGAATACTGATTTAGATGTGGATAGTAGTTGGTCTCCTTAATGCAGTAATAATACATTTGGTCTTCCTTATGCATACTGTATATTATATAAATTTAATGACTGACATGTACGAGGGTTGATCCAAAAGTTCGAGGAATTTCTTCATATTTTTAGGTCACCTGAGTAACTCAGGTGACCTATTGCTATCCGTTTTCGTCCGTCGTCGTGCGACGTACATTAACATTTGAACATTTTTAGCTTCTTCTCTGAAACCGCTCAACCAATTTCAACCAAATTTGGTATATAGCATATTTGGGTGAAGGGAGAGGGCAAACAAACATTATTTTAAAGATTGCCTTAGCATGTCGTTTATTCTGTGCATTTATGGCAATTAATATTAAAATCGTCCAGACCTGTTAAAACCCATGGATGTCCACAAAAATGTTACTCAAATTTCATGTTAAAATTAGAAGTAAATATAAATACCTGTGTAATTGTATAATGGTGTAACAAATGTTTAAGAATGCCATATTTAAATTTCAAAAATTGCTCTAAATGTGCATGAGATAAATATCTAAATGCTGTGAAGAAGCACTGTGCTACAATTACCATATTAAAGAAGTGATTTTAATGAAATCTTTTTTCTAAAAAACCTGTAGAAAATTTAAAGAAAATTAGAAATCACGATTCTTACCCCAAAACCATCAGATGGTATGAAAGCCTTCAAACAATGTGTTTTACATAATTCGCATTTCCAAAAACTGTGATCATTAATTTGCCGACCTATTATTGTATGTTCTAATGAAGGAGAATTCATGTGCAAACTTCTACATGAGAAGAATAAAAGTATTGCCGTGTCCTGCAAGAAAACAAAATCACATTATACTATCAATTGCAGATGGTGTCTACGTCTTTCAACTAATTTTGCAACGGCAAGAGTATCTTCTATGTAGTAACTATTTTGAACCAAGACATCCTACTGACAACTAAGTCCATGATACAGAGCTTTCTACTGCCTTGTTTAGAATTTTACATGTCGAGAAATTTATGGTCAGTGTAATGACCTTATTTGCAAATCTAAATCTTCATTACGTCGAGTTTAGACTTTCATGTGAATTTCATGGTCCCTGTCCCCCTGGGGCCTGAGGGGCGGGGCTAAAACCACCAAAAATAATGCAATCTTTAAAAATCTTCTTCTTTACTCCTGGACATCAAGCAGTCAAACTGTTCGCATCATTGTAATAAGCATTGAGCCCTCTACCAAAATTTTGAAATTCATGGCGCCAGGATCAGGGGTTCTGGTGCTAGGATGGGGCAATATAGATCATATAGTGAAAGTGCATTATTTCTTTGAAAATCTTATTCTCTGCTCCTGGGTTTTAAATAAAGTAACTAAGTACATAGTTATGAAAAGCAAGACTGCCTCTTCCAAAATTGTGAATTTCATGGCCCCAGGGTCAGGGGTTCTGGTGTTAGGGCGGGGCTCTATTGATTATATAGTGAAAATGCATTAATTCTTTGAAAATCTTCTTCTCTGCTCCTGGGTATTAAATAAAGTAACTAAGTACATAGTTATGATGAGGAAGAGGGCCTCTTCCAAAATTTTGAATTTCATGGCTCCAGGGTCAGGGGTTCTGGTGTTAGGGCGGGGCTCTATTGATTATATAGTGAAAATGCATTAATTCTTTGAAAATCTTCTTCTCTGCTCCTGGGTATTAAATAAAGTAACTAAGTACATAGTTATGATGAGGAAGAGGGCCTCTTCCAAAATTGTGAATTTCTTGGCCCCAGGGTCAGGGGTTCTGGTGTTAGGGTGGGGCTATATTGATTATATAGTGAAAATGCATTAATTCTTTGAAAATCTTCTTCTCTGCCCCTGGGTATTATTTAAACAAACTAAGTACATTGTTTTGATATTCAAGATTGCCTCTTCCAAAATTGTGAATTTCATAGCCCCAGGGTCAAGGGTTATGGTGAAAAAGGGGGAGGGGCTCTATTGATTATATAGTGAAAAAGCAAAATTTCTTTGAAAATACTCTTTTCTGCTTCTGGTTAAAAAGCAAAGAAGCTAAGCATATAGTTATGATGAGCATGATTGCTTCTTCCAGAGTAGTGAATTGCATGACCCCTGGGTCAGATGTGCTGGTGTAATGGTGGGGCTCTTGATGATATAGTGAAAATGCATTAATTCTGTTAAATAATCCTGTCTGCTCCTTAGTGTTAATCAGATAAACAAAGTGATTACTTACATGTATGATGAGCAAACTTCTGGTCCCAGGGTGAGAGGCTCTGGTGTTTCTAGGTGGGGGGGGGGGGGGGGGGCTCTATTGATAATATAGTGAATCTGTAGTAAAAAATGCATTATTTCTTTGAAAATCTTCTCTGCACCTGGGCATATCAGAGGCAAAACAAGTAAAAGTTTTCATAAAGATTTTTGAACATCTGGCTTCGGGGCCACCAACGTATAAAATCTCAGCTCAAATCTCAACCTCAAATCTTAGATTTCTGCCTCAGCTGAGATTTTCCTAAAACATCATGCCACCAACATCTCTGAGATTCGATCATCTCACGTAAGCTGAGATTTGAGAAAAATCTTGGACTTATTCTCGTTGTTATATACGACCTTTTTTTCTGAAAATGCATGAATTTGTTGAATCAATGATTGAATTTACCTTTTAGTCAGTTATTTATGCATTATTTAAGTGAATATCACGAAAAAACACATCCCACACTTCCTTCGTCTTTTATTTGTTGTTTCGAGTCATTCAACAAAGAGGATTCCATTTCGACATTTGCGACAATTTTCATTGAACCCCCCGTAAAAAATCCCTACAGAAGAATAACACAAAAACATATCTAAACTTTGTAGTCTTGGTTCGTCTGTCGACATAAACACACAAAAACATACACCGAGGCGTCACTTCCACCATTGTGACGTTACATGTAGCAGGTAGGCAGATCAAGACTATATTCCCCAGACTGATTAAAAGAAATCATTTTTCTTTGTTTGTTATATATGTTAGATATATCTGTATAATTCTTAATTCTCCATAGCAAAAAAAAAAAAAAAAATATGAGTCATAGGGACTATTTAAATTTAGAATAAACCTGAGTGAATTTTTTTTCTAGCAGATCCACAAAAAAAAAAATGCTCAGTAGGCCTATATCATGTAAATTTCTCACATGCTGTAATAAATTTCGCGAGTATACCATAATTGTGGAAAAACAGCAAACATATCCAGGAGCAGGTAACATACGCATGCTTAGTTTTACAGGATTTAATTTATCAAGGAAATTTCTCGAGGAACTGTTTAATTGTCGGTGAATTTCAGCTCATATCCCCCCAGAAGGAAGAAAAACCGGCTGAAATTTGAACTAAGGGCATGTATAGGGAAGCGGCAAACTAACACATCGCATTTTTCTACGATCCCCTGTGACAAAATGTCTCGGAAAGTCTTCTTTTTTTTTTTTTAGATAAATAATAAACAACGAATATAGCACCACTTGACAAATAATCATCGTTACATTGAAAACCCAAATCAATCTCGCATACGCTCATTGAGTAATGAGAAACTGATTAATTTCTAATTGTATCGTAAATAAAAGTTTCACTGCGTAATGATGTAATTTTTAAAAAAAAAAAAAAAGAACCTACGGATCATACTTTTTTGCTTCAAAATGTAAGTTGTCGTACTAAAAAATACTGTTTGTTAAAAAAGAATCTATTCTTGCAAGTACTATAGCTAGCAAGTACATTTGAATAGATGCAGTCCTTCTTGTGATTTATACATGTATTTCAGAATGGTCATAAGTCAAGTTTATTCTTATAAATAATATAAATGGTCAAGGATTTAAGTACGCACAATACATTGTGAGTATAAAGTCGATCCAAATTCTCAATCAAGAATTTTATAGATTTTATTAAGAACCAAATTAGACAGACTGCTATCATCTGTAATAAATAAATGGCGATTTACATATTATTTCGA